TTGTCCTCCCCCACCACTATGATTTCAGAAACACTGGTGCATAGAGAGGCCAAGAGAGTGTGGCACTTTTAATTCAGTTATTTCTACTCCTGAGTCATTCAGATCCTCGAAGCGGCCCCAACCCTAGGGTGCCACGATACACTAATCTCTTGGGATGTTTCTAAGGTTTAATCTTTTCAAAACCCTGGTGATTGTGTCTTCTTGCTCTGTGCTGTCCAACATGGAAGCCACTAGCCATATGTGGCTATTTAAATATAAGCTAATTGAAATTAAATAAAAATTCAAATTCAGTCCTTTGGTCACACTGGCCATGTTTCAAGTGTCCACTAGCCACATGTGGGTAGAGGCTACCATATTGGACAGTACAGATAGGGCATTTATATTGTTGCAGAAAGTAAAGCAATTCACAGTGATGTTCTAGTTATCCAAGGTGTAAGTTGAAAATATCAGAATTATGGATAGATCCGACAGGAAACTTATGTCTATGACTAACCACTTACTCTCACTGCCTTCAACTAATGAGCACTACAGGCATCTGCAGTGACCCTATCTAAAAATACATACATATAGCTGGGTGCAGTGGTATGCACCTGTTAGTCCCAGGTAGTCAGAAGGCTAAGGCAGGAGGATGGCTTGAGCCCAGGGGTTTGAGGCTGCAGTGAGCTATGATCATGCTTGTGAATAGCCAGTGCACTCCAGCCTGGGCAACATTACAAGACCCTGTCTTTAAACAAAACCAAAACCAAAACCAGACATATATACATATAGAATAAAGAGAACACCATGCTTGTGGAAATTCTGTACATTTTTAAAAAGTAATCATCATATCATTTTTAGTCTCTCTTTCAGAGTATGTTATTTATTGTAAGACATCATTTTTATTAAATACACTGTAGTACAAGAGACTTTCCATGTCAGGTTGAGAGAAGCTGGTCACATGATTTACAAACAAAACTTTTTTTTTTTTTTAAACACTGTATTCAGGTGTCACTTTGAAATCAGCCAAGATGCAGTGGGTCTTAGTAAAGCAATGGACCTCAAAACAGATTGCAAAACAAGAACTGGTATTAGCACAGAGACATCACATGAAAAGGAAGAGAAACCAAATGAAAAGGAGAGTTCCAAATACCAGGTCACAATTGAAGGGGAAATATATCTGCAGAGAGATATGGAAATGTGTGTGTGTACGGCCTGGATATATACAAACATCTCTCCAGATACAGAAGCAAATGCAGAATGTCCACATCTCCAGGCAGATTTGTAAGTTATAGGTATTGATCGAAGAACACAGGGAGCTATAGTTCACCATAATTTGGTCATTTGTCAAGGGATTACATATTTAAAATCCACATTTAATTCAAAGACCTTGTATTTAAAACATTTCCAGCTGTTTTATACATTTTTAAAGCAATAGTAAGATATACAAGCTGCAAGATACAGGCCTTTACATTTCATTTTCCCTAATTTTCTTTTTTCCTGTTCAAACGCACGACTACTAGCAGCTTTTATGATGCTTGCTCCAGTACATTGAACATTCAACTAACCTCCACTCAGGATCATTTTCATTAATGCATAGACTAAAGAAATAAATAAACATGGACCTGGCCTCGAACGCATAGACTAAAAAATGACATCCCCATCTTTTCTCATTTCGTCTCCTGAGACGTATGTCAAGATGGCAATATAGTTGCTTGGTGGTGGTTGTGAAATTCACAGTGTTTTGCCTACAACACATATACAGATATATATATATATATATATATATATATATATATATATATTTTTTTTTTTTTTTTTTTCTTTGTGTTTGTGATGAATGGAGCAAAAGTATATAAATAAATAAATACATAATTAAATAAATAAAGGTCAAGGAAAAGAAGGGGGGGAATGCAAAAACTAAGCATATTCAAGAACCTTTGACTTGAGCAGCAGTGATTCATTCCAGCCCTGACAACAAGAAAATACCCCTTCCTGCACTGTGGTTTCTAACTGTAAATCCCTCCCACCCCTCATTCTTTAGAATAACGTTTGAAATTCATGTACAAGCTATCACAACCTCAGAGGCTCCACATTCCAATTATGCATCATAAAAAATCAGCTGTAACTGCTAACTTAGACATTTGAAGAGTTGGGTCCCTAGCCATTCCTCTCATGAGATTTCCTGTAACAGTGATATATGGCCAAACCAAAGGTCAACATTGAAAATAAAAGTCCTGAAACAGGGGAGGAAAAAGAAAATGGAGAAGCAAGAAAATTGAGAGTATGTGTGTATATGCAGTCATTTATTTAGTTAGATACAACAATGGTATTGGTATTACAGGCTGTCCAATTTGCAAAAAGAAAGATTCAAAGAAAGTCCATTCTTGACCAGGTAATCCTGCAGTCAGGACGCTTTGGAAAGGACAGCATTCTATACTGTTAGTTGGTGTATTCACTCTCGGATGTGGGAATTCCTAAGAGTTGCTCATCTCACTGTGGGGTCTTGGACAGCTCATCATTGGCCTTCGAGACACTGGGCTGCCAACATTCCAATTTACATTTGGAATGCTTGAACTCTGAACTCAAGCGTCAAGGGGTCACAGTGGGACAAAGACAAGGTGAGCATAATACAAATGTGCTGAAAGACAAAAAGAAAGCAATGTTCCTTTCCTGGACCTTTACAAAAAGTATCTTCCTTTGCAAGGAGCCAGAGAAAGCACTCAGTGTAGTGGGATGGCTTTTATTCAGTTGTTTTGGGAAGCACATTATCTTAAATATGTCTTCCACCCATGCAGTACTGCACAGAGTTGAAAAGTGTGATGTAGTCCTACCCACATGGAGAATGGAAGCACTAACAGCAACATGACGTTAAACAGTTTTGGTTATTTAGCATATTTTAAGCAAATTATTCATACCTCACCCTACTTATAATTATCTCTATTATTGTGTGCCTATAAATTTATACATAAACACACAAACACACTATGTATGTGCATTTGTATATGTATAAATCAAGTATTTATAACACATATAAATACATGAAAATATCACAGGTAGTGCTGATGTGAACACATGTATAATATGAATTCTGATATAATCTTTTATAGCATAGTTCAAAGTGTTTTCTAAATAAGCCTGATTATGACATTGGTTCAGTGTACAAGGATTTAGCTGAATTTAGCTGAAGATAAGAGCATGATTACATATCACAATATCTCAGCTGCTTGTCATCTCCTGTATTTCCTTGTGTTCTTCTAACTTCATATACTGCTTCGTGAATGTGTTAGTGTGCTTTCTTTCCTGAACTGCTTGTTTGTATATGAGAGTCTCTAGTGGACAGAACCATGAAGTTCAGAGTGAGAGTACTTGGATTCAGTCCCAGTGGTGCCGGAAGCTAGGCTGGAGACCTCTAGCATGCTTCTGAGGGTCTCTGAGTCTCAATGTCCTCATCTACACAAAATAGGAATAATTTGCTAACACACATGGAAAGTGTTTGGAAAACTATTCAATGACTTCTAAATGGAAATGATTGTCAGACCAGGTTTGGGCTAGAGAATTAGGTTTGTCACTATTATACTGTAGTTTTCACAAATTTGATGGAAGGCCATATTTGGTGATCATGACATTTTAGAACGAGGATGCTACTCTTCTAAAAATCAGACCATGAGAAAGGGGGTGGTGGAGGAACAGCAATGAATAATTTCAGATATTCTGTGGCTCATTCAGCTACTTTAAAAGCAATCTGATATTCTTTCAATTTGAGATGTCTCTGAAATCAGCACATACTCTTAAGACAACAGAGATAGTAATAGTAATAATCAGCAATATAAATAACTATAAAACTTTGCACTTGCATAGAACCTTTTATTTCAAGACCTTTAGGGACTTGTCAGAAGGAATAAGTGGAATTTTATTTTATTTTTTGCTTTTTTCTTTCAGAGAAAAAAAAAAGACAAAACTGGAATGGGATGCTCCCAAAGTCTCATTGGCCTTAAACAAATCTTTGCTCTAAAACTGCACAGCCCTCCTTGAATTTGATCCCTTAAATTATTACCTACTTTGCTCTCTTAAAATAAAATAAATAACTTGTAGCTTCTCCCCTGAGAGCAGCTGGCCAGACATGCAGAATGACAAACCTGTGTTGGTTTTCAGGTCATCGCTGATGGAATCTAGAAAAGTTTTTGTACAAATCTGCCCCTTCCTTACTACGTCCCAGAGTTCTACAGTGTTTTAACAGTACCATGGGTCCTTAATATGATACATACATGCACGTATATATCATGGAGATATGGCTTTCATTATGTTATTACATGTATTCTGAAGGGTTTTTTTTTTTTTCTTAATCACCAACAAAGAGAACAAACGACCCAACTCTTATCTCTCATAGGTCAGCATATAACTTGAATGGACATAAGGTTCATCTTGTCATCTCCCTCGCTTGACTGCAGATGCTACTGGATTTCCTTTTGTTCTCTGTTAATTTACACTTTTGAATTTTTGAGAATTGACTTTCCAAGCCTTTAATGAAAAACAAGGTGTTTCAGTAATTAACGGGCACAAGCAAAACCTAAAACAGAGCTATCGCACCTTCAGAAACAAACAAGAAATAACATCACCTAAGATGAATGAAAATCACTCCCTTTCAATCTGGCTCATGTTATAAAGATGTCAAGTTTAGCAAAATTCCCCTCACAGAGGGTAGCAAGTTTTCTTGAGGAACAGAAATATTTTTCTTTCTTGGTATATCTGACCATTCAAATAGCTGTAAATTTCTATTTAAATTTGCGCCCTCTTTTTTGCAAAACCAGTGACTATGCCCAGAAGCACATTTCCAGTGCTTGGTCTGGGCACAGCCTTCCGTTGGCATGCTGTGCCAAATTTTGCATTTTGACGTTTTGAATGGAGTGAAGGAAACAAAGACAGCATACTGACAATGGAGAACACTTGGAATGAAACCACTCTCCCAACCAGAGCCCAGAGCAAGGGACTTGACCTGTGTACACTGAACGTGAGTGCATGTGACGCCCTCAGGGTGAGGTTTCCTTTCCCTTAGGGATTGATTCTGCCCTTCCCACAGTCCTGTGGGTTCCACGTGGATGAGGATTTCCAGGCTTCGGGGTCCATATTCATTAAAACCCATCACCACCGTACAACCCAGAGACATTGAAACTCAGCTAATACACTCCATTAGCTTCCCCTAATTGTATAAGTCGTACCTTTTTATGGATCTGCTCTACCTATCAGGGGAACGATGTCTGGAGCGGTAGTGTCTGCACACAAGGTATTAATCAACGAAGACCATGCACAATTTTGCTTGCACAGTTAAAAGGACGGGTGGGCATGGAAGTTAGGGGTCGGAGGGAAGTGAGATCTGAAAAGTTCAATGTAAGAGAAACTTGCCTCCGAATTTATAGCTTGTCTTATCTTTTCCAAGTTCTTGGTTTCCCACCTGACCCCGAAATGATCTCTGGACATGAATCCACCTCTTTTCAATTGAAGTTGACAAAGGTTCTGTGGGTAGCACTTGAGAAACAAACCAGTGCTATCATCATAACCTATGAAGACAAAACTGTGTCCGAGCACACTATGCACCATCTTGTGTCTCACGGAAGCCATCTTTGCTCTCTACTGCACGCCGCCATTTCTGGTGATGGGAAAAGAATCATCCATGGCACAGAGGCCAATAGTCTTTTTACTCCTCAGAAAGGTCCTCAGGGGAAGGTGCCGAATACATTCTTCCCAGCTAACAGTTGCTGAGAATTTCCTAAGTAGGGATGGACGCCAGCTGATCCCAATGGTTGTCTTTGTTCCTCCCATAATGCGGTTCATAATAAATCTTCTTTCTCTCTGGTTTTAATCTCCCATAGATAAAGGCTTCACAGATTGAACACAAGTTTTCTTTTTTATACACAGGCTTAAGCCATCCAAAAACAATAAGAACAGTAATAATAATAAATAAATAGAAGTGAATCCATAGAAACTCTCGATGTCTGTACAGCAGAAGTGACAAAGTTTAAGTCAAATATTTGTTTTCCCTTTTTTTCATCCACATCAAAGGCAGGAATACAACAAGGCATTGTTAGTTGTGGTGGGCAAACTGGAGTGTCTGCTGATATAACAAATTACGTTTGTTAAGGCCTTTGTCTATGCAGAGTTAATAGTAATGCAGAAGCCAGATTGATTAAAAAGAAAGGGTAAGAATCGTGAAGCAGGGAAGACCAAAAAAAAAAAAAAAAAAAAGAAAAGAAAATTAAAAAAAGAAAAAGGAACAAACCAAGGGAGATGGAAAGAGAGAAAGAGATAATGCCAAAAAGAAGTCAATACTGTGTCTACGGATGAAGAAGTACACACTGCTTCCCTCGAGAGCTTCTCGGAGTCTTTGATGTTAATACTGTCAGAGTGAAGGAGAGCAGCTTGGTGGCCTCCAGCGGCAGTTAAAAGATGTTCATCCTCTCAGCCTGTCTGAGGAGTATGTTGGGAAGGATCGGTCTGGGGAAAAGGGCCCTAGCCTAGAATGTCCAGGTAGACCGGAGATGCCTTGGCCAAGTTCTGAAGGAGGGTATGGATGCCCTTGATGTTCTTCCTCATGTGGGGCTCTCGCTGCCAGCACCCCAGCATCAGCTCATACACCTCCTGGGGGCACGTGCGGGGTCGCTGCAGGACTCGGCCCTGAGTGATACACTCTATCACCTGGACAGAGATCAAAGATAGGATGAGACAGGAGGAAAAGCAACGCACATCAAAGAAATGTTAGCGCAAGAAACAGCAGAAGAGGGGCTTTTACAAAAGAAGCCCACTCTTGGTTTCATTTTCTCAGAAGGAAGACAAAAATTATTATAGGTTAGTTTATATTGTGTTTAATTTGATTGGCTTATATCCATTTTTCCAAGCCACTCTGATTTCACAAAACTGGTGGAAAAGTAATTTATATGGAATGCTCCCAAACCTCACACTGGAGCTCCCGCATGTTGTGGTTTTTATTGGTCTGAGATGGAACATGAGTCACTTGTGTGTTAAGGCACTGACTGACAGGAAACCTCGCAGGCTATTGGATAAAGGAACTGGATTAAAAAGACAGACATGGATCTGAAAAAGATGTGCGGTGCCTGACCAAGAAGCTGTGCCTCAAATATAAACATATTTGCAAGAGTAAGAATAGAAAAAACAAAACGTTTGAGTCTTTCACTAGAAGTTAATGTTCTGGTGAAATATTCAAAAGGGAAAGGACCTTGAAACTTCGTTGGAACAATACTAAAGAACTCGCTGGACTGTATGGGTTCTGGAATGCTACATCTGCTATTAATTTATCAGATGAGCTGCATAAAGTGACTCCTCAGTCCCACCACCAGAGGAGCAAGGACATATCAGCGAGTGCTGTGCTTTGCTTTCTCAGAGTGACTATACATTGACCATGAAATTTAGAAACATAGCAGGCTACTTGGGAAGTGCTGCCGCCAACAAAACCCCATAAGATAACGTCCTGACATGGTCTTCCAACCCAAAACAAGGCCCCAGCTGATGGAAGCCTCTGGGATCTCAGCCCTCTGGAGGGTCTTGGCCAGACCCATTGCACACCTCGTTGTTTGACAGCTGGTACCAGGGCTGTTTGCCGTAGGTGAAGATCTCCCACAACACGACCCCCAGGCTCCAGACGTCACTTTCTGTCGTGAATTTCCTGTACATGATGCTCTCTGGAGGCATCCAACGAATGGGCAGCATCGTGTGGCCACCGACCTGGAGAGAAAGGGATCAACAGGGAGGCATCAGTCACTCCAAAACCAGGTGTGGAAGGGAGATGCTGGGGGACACTGCTTGCTTTCCTTATTTGCACTTTATAGTTTTAATTGTTTATAAACACATAAGGGATATATGATTTCTTCATAGTCTCAAGCAACAGAGACAGAGGGCAAAGAGTGATCCAAATCATTTAAAAATATATTATTTGCAATTCTTTCTCTCAAAACCAGATAGGAGCAGGGATGATGATTAGGTAGATGATCACCTTGGATAAATAAAACTACACACACATACATGCACTTTCTGCTAGGAGGATGACTCAATCTTCTAATTAACAAGATCACTTTGACCAGGAGAACAAAGAGGGGCTCTGCATCCAAAATGACCAACCAGTGACTCTACTTCCTTGGCAAGGCTAGAGCCTCCTTCTGCCTTCAGGTCTTATGTGTACATGATGCTGACTCAAACCCCTCCACCATCACTCAGCGATAGGCAGGTCAGGCATTATTATTCACCTTCTACAGATAAGGCAATGAGATTCAGATTGCTTACAGACACAAAAACTCAGGTCTTTGGATGCTAAGCTCAGGACTTTCCTCTATTACAGGGCACTGCTCCTTAGATTATTTACCACAATAGATAAATACATTTTTTTAAATGCCCACTTTAATGAAAACACCAAGACTGGGGCATCAGATAGCAATTGCATTAGTACAGGCAAAGAAAACTTTCTTTGACAAAGTAAAATTGTATATGACTTTCTACTTCGTGGAGGAAAGTTAAGAAGCTCATTTCCGGGTTTGTCAGGGATGCCTGATTTCAAACCCATGAACAGATTTCTGCACAGTAGTCCTGTGGCTGGTAAGTTCCGCTTTTCATCCTGGTAACCCCCCAGCACCACCAGGCTACACAGTGTGCCTGACACCTGAGAGCAGGTGGGCTTATCCTACAGCAAAACGCTGGACCTCTGTAACAACTCTGGGTCCTGAGTTTATAGAGTAATGGTGCATAGAGTTTCTGCCCAATTCTAATTCTCAATATCCAGTTAGTATTTATTAAAGGAAGAAAATAAACTAACAGTACCTGAAAAATATTCCCCTACCCCAGAACCCAAGAGGCTGAAGTGTCAGAGATGTCTAACACGCTTGGTGATTCCCAGTGATGTTCTTAGCACCAAAGAAAGCACAAGAGTACAAAAGGAGGAGGGTATTTTATTTCATTCTTCTCTGTATGATGCATCCAAATTTGACAAATAGGGACAAAAACTACTGGCTCAGGTGACCATCTTTACTATTCAGCTTTTAATAAACATAAAGCTCATAAAGGCTAAGTTGGTTTTCATTGGTGTTAGATTTCCTCTCTCTTCCTTCAGCAGTGACAGGTCATCAGTGTTTAATAGACAGAGACTTCTCTTATGGTCTTACCTCATGTCTGAAGGTACTGGCAACAGTCACCCTCAGGGTCGATACTCAAACTGCAATCAGTGTGGCACAGACACTGACCAACCAGAAAGGATGTGGGTGGTAAACATGGGTACAGCTATCTCAGCGCATTTCTGGCTTGGTGAATATCTGCCCTATTCATAACTCTGTGACCCCTGGGTACCTAGGACTTTGGGAGAGGGAATCTGCTGATATACACAGAGGACCTGATGTTTCCAGATGCTTGGGAGGACTTGCAGTATGAGGGTAGAATGATCCCACCAGGTCTGGGCAGCTCACATGGCAGTGGCAAGGAGAGGACTGCTTTGGACCATTCAGGGATGCTGCTGCCACCTTGCAGAGCTAGGCAAATGACCCTTTTGTTTATGTGCCAGAAAAGGCTGGGCACTTTGGCACACACATTTTCAAAGATTGTTAACCCCTAGAATAAAGCATCTCTAGTCTCCTTGCCATTCTCTGAAACCATAATTGGAATGTACCATATAGTTTAGAAAACATCTACACACATCCGGTGCCATTTAATTGAGTGAGCAAACCATAAAGAACTCAGGACTCATGGTGGCTCCTCTAGCCTACAGACGATGAAATTGCTCCTGGCAATTATGGGACCTTGCCTGGGGTGACACTTCCAGCAAGTGGTGCAGATAGGACAGAGGTCTACACATTTTAGCAGACCATTTTCATCCACATAGCAAGCATTTTCTGGGGACCTCTTAAGATACAAACATGGCCTTATTCTGCTTACCTAACATGCCAAAAAAAAAAAAATGGGTAAGATGAAATCAAAGAGAAAAACAATCCCTTTTGCTATACATCTTATTTTTAACCTTATCGCTCTCATTTTCACCTTCTTCCTACCTTATAAAGAAGAGCTCATATCATCATTGTTCATCTCAGCATACTGCTGTGGTACAACCAGCTCCACTGTGCATTTTGGTGCTGCTGTTCTTTCTCTTTAGATAAAATAGGACCCCAGTGGTCAAAGTGGCTTAGAGAAGTGGGAATCTCACACTAAAGACTGAGACCTGGTCTTGTTATGCTGTCTGAGTTGTGTTGTTTTGTTTTAACATCCAGGAAAGGGAAGTGTCTGCTAATCTCTTAGAAAGGAGTGTAGAACTTACTAAGAGTGGCGTTCTTTTGTGGGGAGGAATGAATTACTTCTTGCAAAGAGCCTTCCTGCAAGAGCTATTTAAAAGTGTGAAACCTTGAACTCTACAGAAAATTTTAAAGATAAAAGGCTTAAAAGAGTGGACAAATGCATGGCTCTGAGGGTTTCATCCCAGAGTTAGACGGAGTGAGAGGGCCTAGTTCTTAGTGAAAAAGACATAGTTATTTCTTTTACGAAAATATTGAAATTAGAATCTAGATTTATAATCAGTATGTAGTTGGTGCGTGGGAGTAACAAGAGACTGGGATATTATGACCCAGCATGGTGTTCTTTCTGATATCAGTCCCTCAAAATGTTAAAAGCTGGCAATCCCAGAAGTTCCTAGATCAAATGTGTCAAATGTACTATGAATTGCAACCCTCTTCAATTTAAGGAGATCCATCAGGAACTGAGCCTTATTAAAGTATATGAGGAGTTTGGCAGGAAAGAACAAACTTAACTTTGGTAAATTAAACTATTTGAATGTGTGTTTGTGGGAGAGATAACCATTTATATATGTCTCGAACAAGACAGCTAAAAATACACTTAGGGGTGTGTTAATTTAGCAAGATCTCAGGATTTCCATATCTACCTGGACATTCACAGCTGCAATGCAGTGGATGACAATAGCTGGTTTCCAATAGCTCAGTCACCTGTTTCCTACTTGGGTAACCTTGACTAGTTGCCAAACGTCTCTGTGGCCAAGGTGTAATAATTATATATAGGTACCAATGTATACCTCCCAATGTTGTTGGGAGGTATTTACTGGAGCAGGCATTTGTGAAAGTGCTTTCTAAGTCTTAAAGTATTAAATGCTTTTGAGGTGTGGCTTTCTTCTCTGGAACCTTCACTCACTTACTTCCTCCACGAGAAGCAGCCATTCTGGAGACGTTAAGAAGAATCATTATATCTCACTCTCCTGAACTCCTCATTTGGCCAAAAGCAAGTGGCTACTTTGACAGCAACACCCTTTTTTTTTTTTTTTTTTTTTGTCACTGGCAATGCAAGATAGAAAATCTGATGCTGGTTCTCTCTCCTGCATTGCTAATGGCCAAGAAACAGCTTTTGTTTCCTCTAAAGAAGAGAGAGAGAACAAAAGATTCACATTTTGATTTACATGTTTTCTCAACTGATCGTTTATTTTCTGCTTGCTGTCTCTTTGGGGCAGATTTTTCACTCTAATTCTTTCAAGAATCCCTTCTGGGATTTCATGCATGCTGTTATAAATAATGCTTTCCTTGTTCAGATGTCAAATGGGTGAGTGGTGGGACAATCTAATAAAAGTTCAGACAGGGTTCACAAGTTTTCTAAGCCTATTTAGAACATTTCTGAACATTTCTTTTGCAACCCTTTCTCAGAATTTTGAAGCATGTCACAAAAGCAGACCCTCCCCCCACAAAAAAAGTCACTGTTGTTACAAATTACTGTCACATTCTAGTTATAGTCACTTGATGGTTTTTGGACCACACAAACAACACGCTGCGCAGCAACAAACACAATGAGACATTTGTTTTGTATCGTACTACTTGGCAACTTGCCCTCATGCCCTTGCTTAAATATTTGTGAGATGGAATGTGATCCCAGGAATGACACTGGGAGTCAGAATTCCTGCTCTCAGACTGATATGCCGTGGGGCCTCAGGGACTCTCCAGTAATTAAGTTGAATGGGGTCTCATGGTCTCCACTAAACTCACCAGGTTGATCTGGTGCAAGATGAGAAACCCAGTTATCTGGAGAGTTGACTTGGACGGACTTGCAATTGTTATTTTCCTCAACCCAAGAGACTGGAGTTCTAGTTCTTGTGCTGCTATTAACCAGCCTGAGCAGGTACCCTCAGGTCTGGCTTCTGTCTTTATTAGTAAAATGTGAAGAGTTAGGGCAGCTCTTGGTTACTTCCAGCACAAAAACGCTGTGGTTCTAGAGTTACCCACCACCTCGGCACCACCATAATCATCCATCAACACTCAGTCTTCACCATTTACAAAGAATTTCTATTCAATTATCCCACTTGAACCCAATGGTTATGCTCTAGAGCAGACATAGACTTGCCTGGATAGTGCAAGTAATGCCCCTAAAAGTCAGTGAGTTTAAGTAGTTTACCTAAAGCCACATACCAAACCTCTCCTCATTGGACAACCTGTATTCATTAGGATGGACCACTCTGCTTTTCTGCTTTCTCCAGTCTCCACACACACTCTGTGTTCAGCCAGCAAGTTTAGGTGGCTTCCCATCCAGGGCCAAGTTACTCATGCCTCTTAGAAAGTTTGATCTTCTTCCCTTTCTCCCTACTTCCCAAAGGTCTCCTACAGGCAAGCTCAAGTCCCACCACTTCAAGAAAAAACTCTCCCTCCCTGCTGCAGTGCAGGGATGGTTCTAGTACTGTCAGTGTAGCTCTGGGAACACAGAAGGAACTCCTTTCTTTGCCTAATGTATCACATGCCTCAAGAGAGATGTACACAATTCAGTTCTTTCTGGTGGGAGA